ATAATATGCAAAATGATAATTTGACATTTTTTGACCTTTTTAATTAAATATTGTTCACGATAAAAATTGCAATTTCAATCTCAGAAAAAATTTTTCGGCAATATTTTTTTCTCATAATTTTTATCATTTTCAAAATTCCATCATATTAAATGTAATGCAAATTGCTAAAATATTGTGTCAAAATTAGTTACAAAAAAACATTATAAAGTTGTTGAAATAAAAATTTGAAATGAAATTATAAAATTTGGATGCATTTTTAGCTATCAAAACATTAAATCAACACAACTTTCATGAAAATCTTAAAAGATTTCTGTAAAAAGAAATAATTATTTTGTTTTTTTCAAATGAGATAACTATTTAAAAATCATTTACACAAATGAAATTATATTTTTAAATGCAAAAAAATGAAAATTAATTCAAAGTATGCATTTCTGTTTTGAATTGAGCATTTGTGGAATAAAAATTAACATTTTCTGCGTTATAAATTTATTTTATTTTTTAATCACTGCTTAAAAAAAGAATCAAAAGTTTTAAAGTGGCTTTGTCACGCAAAATTCAGCTGAAAATATTGCTATTTTAACCAACTGCAATAACTTTCTTCTCATTCAGAAATTTGCATAATTTCACTCAAAATTAGCATAATTTTGTACAACTGCATGAGGTTTTCCACTAAAATACACCTCCCAATTTGTGAGAATAAAAAGAGTAATTATTATAATTGCTATTCATCTCTAATCCTTGCTAAGCTAGCTAGCTGTGGTTAATTTACCATTAAAAAATGAGTAGGAAAGGTTATAATTTTAATAGCGAAAATGATAGTTTTCATATTTTTTAATTTTAAAAATTTTCGAAAATAATTTTGTATTATCTGTCATTAATGTTTTTCTGTCTTTGCTTGGCATTTATTTGTGCTTCAATTTTCACTAAAATATTTGCTTGCACGCTGCGTTAACATCGCTTTCTGTTCTCTCAATCTTCGTAAACTTTACACTTACAAGTCTAATAAAAAACTTCTGAAAAGTAATACGATGACTGATAAACTGTTATTTTTTTTACTTATTTATAAAATTTGCATCTAATCAATTAAAATTATTTAAAACGTAAAAAACAAAAGTGCGCAGATTATTCAGTTGCTGCTATGAAGACTCAAATAATGCAAAAAAATTCAATTGAGTCTAAAATCAGAAAATTGGAAGTGATAATTTAAATCTTAGTTATGTCAAAGGTTAAAGGTTAAACCACATGCTTTTATTTTCATACATTGAATTTAAGCATTCTTGCTGTCTGCACTTTCCAAAAAGAAAACTTATGAAAAAACACCAGCTTTAGCTAGCGAAACAGTACAATACTTTTTTCCTTTTCAAATATTGCCACTGTTAATAACTGAAAAAGTAAAATGGATTTGTCAAAAAAGTTTAAAATTTTTTGCAGTAAACTTTCATCGATAAATTTATGTGAGATTATTTATCACACTGAATTGATCGATAGAATGTTTTAATTTTAATTCAAAGTGTAATTCAATCAGTAAAGTTAAATGTAGCCAACAAAGCAACAACGATTATGAGAATTTGCAGATTTATTATTTAGCAAAATATATGTATGTACTTGAAGACTGATAATACATACTGAAATTATTAGACTGGAAAAAGGTGCAAACTTTGTGAATTAGTAATAATCGTTCCTTAAATTTAATGAAGTAAAAGATAGAGTAGGCATTTTAATAAAATTTAAACCAAATTTGTCAAGACCGGTAATAATTTTGTTGAAAAAAATGAAAAGACGCTAAGTTGACTAATGAGGCATTTAGCTAAATATCTGATATACCAATAAATTTAAAAAGCAAAAAAATTTTAAGAGTAATACAGACTGATTAATCAATTGGTAATTTTTTGAGGTACAAAATAGAGCTTTTAAAAAGGTTAAATAATAATTAATGACAGTAATTATTGAGCAAAATCTAACATCTAAGAGTCACTCTTCTCATTGGTATTATAGCAAACTTTTCATTTTAACTTAACATTTTTTCTGCAGAAAAAAATTAAGTTTGTACTGCTTTATTTTATTACTTTTACTTTTACACTACATTATTAAAAAATTAATAGAAGTGAGTGGATTTATAAAGAATGCTTTATTCAATCTTTTACTGCATTATATGTATAGTATATTAATAAATTAATAAAATTTATAAATTAAATACTTTGTTATTATTTTGAAAAATTGTCATATAAAAAATGTAATTATAATTCTGATTTGTCAAATAATGAATTAATGAAAGTGAGTCTAAATTTATAATTATATTCATGCAAAATTTTTAATAACTTTTGAAAAATAAAAATTTTTTTATATTGCCAGAAAGTAATTTTGGTAATAACAGTTAGCACTGTGCAATTATTTGTACTGCTATCCTTTTGTATGCTTTAATCTGAAATAGAATAAAATGTTGCACAAATTGTGTCTTAACATTTGAATGATAAAATTGTTATCTTTTAATAGAAAAGTGATTAAAGTGAAGTTAATAAATTGTCCATTTGTAGGACAACAGATAATACATATTTGAAAATGAAAAAGAATGAACAAATAATGCGAAAGAAAAGATCGATCATATAATAATCTTTTCTATTATTTATAACAATAATAATAACGATAACGATAATAACAATAGTAATAATAATAATGATAATAATGCAATCCAAATGGTGCTCGTTATACTTCAATGTAATTATTATTCATCTGTTGACGATATTTTTAATGGTTTGTATTGTTTGCTTTTTAAATATAATTAACAACAGAAGTAATTTTTAAGAAAGATACTACTGTTTCTGAGTTCTAAAATAAAAACTAGTTTAAATTTTGAAATAATTATATTTAGAAGAAAAAAAAACAATATGCTGTAAAATAGCATTAAATGCAAATTATTAAATTCTTTGCAATTTTACATGGTAATTTACATATTAATTATTGCATTAATTAAGATATTAATATCATGTATAAATATGAAAATTTTTTCCATACATTTGGTGAATACTTCAAAACTTTCAAACTTCTAAACAAAATAAAATAAAAGGTAGGCGTCAAAAGAATAGTGCAGGAAAGAGAAGGAATGTTAGCATTTGAATGCACTGAAAGAATGAATGCTAGCACTAGCAAGCATTAGTAGACTGACTGACTTCTATGAAAATTCCGAAAACGAGTTCAAGCAAATAACTTTAAATGTCAAAAAATGAATTTATAATTTTAGCATGCAATTGCTTTTGACGCTTGTCAGAAGTTTGCTGTGTGTGTATTGGACAAATGCCTCGACGAAAGAAGCAGTAATTATCCACCAAAGCATAAAGTTTGTTTTTTTTTTCTTAATTCTTTACTTCAAAAAATGAGCAATACGCAAGAATGACTGATTAAATGATTGAATGAAAAATTTGAATTCTTTCATTTCAGTCTTAAAAATTTTGAAAAATAAACTTACAAGTTCTGCTTTTAATTAAATTGTGCTTGATAATTACTTTGTGCAAAAAGACTTTCAGAAATTAAAGTTTTAATTGAGTTTAATTTTTTATTCTTTTTTTAAAAATAAATATATAAATCAATTGTATATACTTGAAGTTGAAATGAAATGAAGTCAGCATTTCCACAGTGTCTTGCTGATTCTTTTTGACATACTAACTTTCTACATTATATCTAATTTAGTCATTTAAATATCAGCTGTACAGCACTTTCACTTCTTGCGAGCTAGAAAAATGCAAAAGTGATTCTTATATTTGATGGTTGCATAATTTCTACTTTTTCATTACTGAATTTGATTCATTCTATAGATAATAGATGATTTGGAAAAGTTTTCATTTCTTCCCACTTTTATTCACTAATCTTTTATAAAATTGCATTTATCTGCAATAAAAAGCAATTTTTAGTTTAGTATACATCAGCGTACACATAATTAGTATAAGAAATTAAAATATTTAAAACGGATTATGCTTTATCCATTAATCCCTTTCAAATATTTTACTGTATTTCAGAAATATTCAAGTACGGTTTTTGGAACCTTCAAAGATTTTAAAAGCTATTTTTCTTAGCACTGTATGGTACTAACTTTTTGCTTTATCAATTAATCTAATCTTATTTTATTTCTCAGGGCAAAATTATGAAAATACTTGAAAAATTTAACACAAACAACAATAATTTATAAAAAGAAGTGAGTTTGTGAGGTGGAAATTTATTGCAAAAGCCATACAATGCAATGAAATCAGAATCTTGCAAAAAATTCTGCCTTTAATTGCTAAGTTTATGAATTTAGTAAATTAAAAAATGTATAATTAATATTAAATGATGTCATTTTTAGACAGATATCCTTATCTTATTTATTACATTTGAGATGTAATTTCATTTTTATAGCTAAAACTTAATCGCTCCATTAGTAATAACACTTATGCGTAAACTAAAAGCTAATGCATCACACAAAGAAGAGTTGACTTTAAGGTGATCATTGTGGTTGAAACGCTTACTTTCTTCGATTTTAACTAACAAATTATTACTTTTTTAATTCTCAATTAAGTGAACTTTGCGCCTCATAAAGTCAGTATAGTAATTAATTTATGATATTAAAAAATGTTTATTAAATATTTGAATTCATTATGTAAAATTTCGCAGATAAAAAATAGCCAAAGTGAAAATAAAAGTATTTAGTTCATTTCCACAGCTAGTCATAGCTTAGAAATACAAAATTCTACAAGTTGAGTATAACTTTGTGATGTTTATAATTTGTTTATCAAAATAAAAATAAAAGTAATGATTTACGAGTAATTTACCATATGGAAGGCAAAGCTCAGAAGAAAAAAGAATAAGCAATTAGTGAATGTTCGAACAGAATAAATGGACACAAATTTACACTCAAAAAAATGTTTTTCAATGCAAACTAAAGCAAAAAATTCAAATTATAAACATTTTTGCCAAAAAAAATCTGATAAAAACATTGAGAAATCAAAAGTATGTATGTATATTCGTTAGATTCTGTACCAAAAATAAGTTGACAAACGTGCAAACAAATGGCAATGAGAAAATGAATAATATACAAATTGCTTAGCTTTTCATTCCCATACAGTAATGATAAAATAAATGAGCAAAGTGAAAGAATACTAATGCATTTTAATCTAAACTTTTTATCACTTTCATACAGTAAATGAAACGAACTGACAGTACGCTTAAAAATAAATAATAAATTGTTAATTATAAAAGTAAACAGATACTAAGCTTTAAGAATGATATCTCTCTACTTTTAAGGTACTGCATTCTATGTTGAAAAGAATTAATTTTGGATGTGTGCTTGGAGCTGAATGTCATGACATCTGCATGCTTTGTCCTACTTGTGAGTATGCACAAAATCAAATGCAACGAGTTTTGAACGGTCAACAATTCGGTATTTTTTCTTTCACTTATTCATTCATTCATTCAGTCAGTCAGTCAGTCAGTCATTCTATCTATCTATCTATCTATCTATCTATCTATCTCCTTATCTATATGTCATTTTCATGTTGAAAATTTACTCTTACGTAAATGTAATTTGAGTTAGAAGAAAAGTGTCAGAATGACAAAAAATAGTAAAGAATTTAAAAAATTTGTTTTATCATTGGATTTAATTTCACCTTCACAATACTTTGTTATTGAAAATCTCGAAAATTTCATTAGTCAGTTTTTAAATCAAACATTTTCGAATCGAATACTGTTGTCTGATTTTGTAATTATACACTGTTTTCAGATGGTCAATGCAAAGAATTGGAAAGTTGTGCTCAGAATTGCATAAACAGTGAAAATAATGAGGTTTGTAGCTGACTAATATTAATTAATTAATCTTTAAAAAGATAAATTTTTTGTTTTATTATTGAAATTTTAAATATCTCATATTACTTTGTTGTTCTAATGAAATTTCTTTTATGAGAAAAATATAATTTTGGATTTTTTCAGATAACAGATATGTTACGTTGCATATTTCGAGATCGGTGTATTAAGTACTGTTTGGATATCAATAACTGCCCACAGTGTCGCGATATAATTCGACGAATTTTCACTGGTTATTGCTACCGGAATAAGTATATTAAAAAATATGGTACCAAATGTCGTCCACTATTTGATTACACAGTTCAAAATTACACTCGCGAGAGCTAATTTTTAGGCAGTGTAATGATAACAATTTCACGTCCAAGTATTGTTTTATGGTATTAAGTCAAAATGTGTATTAATATCAGTTTTTTTAAAGTAAATAAATAAAATGTGGAGGTTAGTTTTAATTTTCGCTTTATTGGTTCTGGCGCAGTATAGCATTGTGGCACTCTGGCAGTACTTGTCCCGCGCTCAGATTTGTT